CCGTAAATTCAACCTTCGTTTTCCGTACGGTGAACGCTTGTTTTTTTGCCGTGTGTGAGTACATCAAAGCAATCCAAAGTCAACAGAACAACACAGTACTAGCTTTAATCTCACAGGAAAACGCACTTCAAAACGAATACAGGACATTTCGCACAAAAGACTTTTCGCACAAGTCTTTTAGCACAAGTTTTGGATCGTTTGCACAATTCTTAGAGGTCATTTCGCACAATAATTACAAGTGAGAAACATCAATATAAAAGGTGTACTAATTGATACTGATAAGACATTTCACCTTCACATGTCACTTTCAATAAGATCCAACGGCGAGAACGTAGACCTTTATTTACGTAATAACTTCAACTAGATCGAAATGCTTGTGAACACGATCACTATTCTTACTTGAAGAAAGGAACAGATCTCTCTCTCTCTATGAAAATGTAAAGAACTCCCTATTCGAACGATTACTTCTTTTACTTTTCCTTTGTTAAACAAAAAACACTTTAGTTTTGACAGTACATCATCCACTACAAACATACGAACATGACGACCCAACGCTAAGGACGCCATATTGATTTCAAAAGTAATTGTCACCAATCCTCCCTCCTCTGAAGTCAAAGTAAAAACCTGCAAACTGTTTCACTTTTTATTTAAAAGGACAAAAGACCTATTTACAAGATTTCTGTGTAAATATACAAAATTCAAGTTCACGGCCATGTTACCCGACGAATCATGCATATTTTAACTCACTACTTGGTCAAGACTCGTAGAAATTTAGCCCTTTCCCACATTCATTTAAGCTATAGTACATCTAGATTTCTTTATTTGTTTTGATCTTAAGCTTAAATGATTCCTTATCAAATTATTTTTAATTCTTGAAACTTTTGTGAAATAATTTGTTTACATCACGGTCCCTATGATGCTTATCGATCGATACTGAACTCTGGTAGCAAGTCGTTTTGATCGAAACCAAAAGTCAGTTCGATCGAAGACAAGAGTCAGTTTGATCGAAGAGTAAATGATTATAAAAACTACAGTTTTGCAAGCGTATAGATAATAATAAAAGTTCTTGTGTTGTGTAATGATTGCGCGATGTCATATGCGCGACGCGGAAACGCGGTTTTCAATTGATCTCTTTTGTTGTCGGGGTTTCTTTCTCGGCGTTCCTGATTGGCAATGCTCAATGAGCTATTCGCTGTAACGTGCGTACACTGAAACACGGGGCTTAAGAATTTAATACTTTTGCTCGCGCGATTGGAGTAAAATCGCTAAGAGTCTTACTCGACCTGTCGGTGCGAATATAGTGAGTTTCTCTCAGAACGAGAGTGGTTTCGCCCAGAAGAAGAAGAAGTAACCAACTAAAAGGAATTGTTTCCATCTTGCCAAAAAAATGTTAACCTTTCATTTGTCCATACAACTCCGAAGTTAACTGTATCAGGAAATATTTCAAAACAGATTTGATAAATAGTAACTTCAGTACACTTAAGCAATAGTTACAGTCTTCGATCGAACTGACTCTTGTCTTCGATCGAATTGACTTTTGTCGATTGAAACAACCTTCGATCGAACTGACTTGCATTCCTGAACTCTCCATCGCTTAGTTAATTGTTATGAGAATAATTTGAAAGGTTACTACTTGATAGATGTATTAAACTTTACGATCTTTAAAAAGATTACAGATCGAACTTGTCTTTCTACAAGATCACTAGTTACTACCTACGCTGACACGTTCAAGTTGTCAGATCACAACACTTGCACATGCTGACATTCGATGTGAATCACTCTCTGAATATCGGCGAGTTATTAAAGTTGAACTGTTTTGCTGTATGTATTACCAGAATGCCTAATTTTCATTATATAACGAAGATATAAGAAGCAAGTTTTCAATAGCCATATTTGAAACTCTTACAGATCAATAAAACATGCTATTTGAAGGCGATCGAACAAGGAGGGAAGACTGGTGACAATTACTTTCAAGTGAATGATACTGTCAAAACTAAAAGGTTTTTCGTTCAACAAAGGAAAAGTTATAGAGGTAGTTGTTCGCATAGGGAGTTCTTTACATTTTCATAGAGAGAGAAATTTTTACCTTTCCTTTCTTCAAGTAAGAATAGTGATCGTGTTCACGAGCATTTCGATCTAGTTGAAGTTATTACATAAATAAATGTCCACGTTCTCGCTGTTGGATCTTGTGAAGGTGAAATATCTTATCAGTATCAATCAGTATACCGTTTATATTGATGTTTCTCACTTATGATTATTGTGCGAAATGACCTCTAAGAATTGTGTCCAGGGAACAAAGAACGCGCCTTCACAACACAAGGGTTCTTGAACACAAGCTTTAATAATCGAGAGTTGCACACTCAGCATATTTTCTTAACAACACAACAGGATCGGAATTGGAGTCTCATCTTTGGCTAACAAGCTTCACCTCGCAAGAAAAAACCTACAAAACAAACACTTAATCACTGTTGGAACAGGATTTGGAAATACACGAGCTCTTAAGACTCACCATACGATGAGAAACTCCCGGCGACTAGCGCGTTACAAAGCACATGGTTTCTTTCTCGCTACACGACGACACTGAGACGCGCTCACTTAGCATGCTGGGAGTATAAATTACAAAAATGGAATGGAACGGACTTAGGAAAACAAAATTGTTCTCTTGTTTAGGATTGGCCTCAACATCCCGGGGGGTAGGGCTGAACGAGCCCCGGAAGACAATCACTAATCAATGTTAAAGTTCTAAACCGACTGTTAGTTCACGACAATGTTTTCAGTTCAATGTTGCAACGTTCAGTGCACTCTACGACAAACTCGTCACGCAGCTTCTTCAAGGAGACACAGCTTGGTCACAGGACGAGTAAGAGAAGAGTCCTTTGTTTTCACTTCGGCGGTGCGGCCATGTGAGTCTTCACCAGGGAACACTTTCGTTACGCGACCCAGCAACCAGCGGGATCTCGGTACAGTTTTGTCCACCACAAGGACCGGGTCATTCACTGCTAAATTCCTCTTGTTTAGTAGCCACTTGTGGTGTTGCTGTAGGGTAGGCACTAAGAGTGGCCAAACTACTGTTACATCTCACCTGTCTGCCTTCTTTCAAAGCCATGTACTCTTCACGGAAATGTTGGCGCTGCACCAGTCGCGTAATTGCTTCGCTTGCTCGCTGAAGCTCAACAAGGGTAAGTGTACCTCCGATGACACATTCAGGTTTTTCCTTCTTTAGTGGCTTGACAAGGCGAAGCACCCACGACATCACTCTCAGCAAACGGGACCACGACGAATAGCGCTGTAGTAGGAGATCAACTTGGGACGTTTCAGTGGCGAACATGATTGTGGCTGGTTTTCGTATTTCCTTGTCATCACTTCGAACGTCTTCCACCTGAGCATTAGGCCACTGATGTTCAGGCTGCCACAGAAAGCAAGGACCTTACCACCACCGACATCCGGGTTGGAAATGCTGAATGGTGACACCTCGTGAACCCTCATCAGCGGGGTTCATGCCACCTGGAACAAGATGCCACTGTTCTGGGGTGGTTGATTCATGAGTCTCGGCCACGCGATTCGCAACAAAGGTTTGGAAGCGCCTAATTTGGTTCTTGATATATTGCAGGGACGTCATCGAGTCAGACCAGAAAAAGGTTCCATCTACTTGCAGATCGAGCTCCTTCAGAATTGAGTTACTTAGCCGTACCGCTAACACTGTCGCCTGCAGTTCTAGGCGAGGTATGGTCCACTCTTTAATGGGCACATTCCTGGTCCTGCCCATAACAAAGGAACAGTGGATCACTCCTTGCTCATCAACGAACCGTGGGTAAGACACTGCTGCATAACCATGCCTTGACGCATCGGAAAAGTTGTGCAACTGCACAGTGGCTTGTGCACTAAGGCACTGGGTCTTGTAACACCTTGGTATCTCGATTGTAGTAACATACGGCAGCCCTTGCAACCACTTCTGCCAGAGGGACGAATACAGCTCTGGAATTTCTTGATCCCAAGAAAACTTCTGCCTCCACAGCTCTTGTAACAGAATCTTGGCTGTGAACACAAAGGGTGAAAGAAATGCCAACGGATCAAATAGGGAGCTTACGACGGAAAGTACCCCTCGCTTGGTGGATGGCTTGTACGCTTGTAAGGCCTTGAACTTAAAAGTATCTGACTGTGCGTCCCAGTAGACACCCAACGCTCGCTCTAGGGGTAACTGGTCCAGATCTAGGTCCAACTTGGGATTCGCCTTCGACGCGGGAGGAATTGAGGCTAGTAATTCACGACTATTGCTCGCAAACTTTGTTAGGCGGAATCCTCCTTCTCTCAACAACTTCATAAGATCTGAGGCCAGGGGTATGGCTTGATCAGTATTTGGGACGGACTTCAGCACATCGTCCACATAGAAATTTCTACGAACTGTTCTGATCACTTTGGGTGGGTAATTTTCTTCATTGTCTTGTGCTGTCATGCTTAACGCCTTGTTGGCACAGCAGGGTGAAGACTTAGCACCAAAAATATGGACCAACATTTTGTATTCTTCTGGAGGCACGTCAATACCTTTAGGCCACCACAAGAACCTCAGAGAATCTGTATCATTTGGAGTTACTCTGGTCTGGTAGAACATGCCCTCGATATCTGTTGAGAAGGCAATTTCTTCTTCACGAAAATGAATCAACACTCCAGACAGGTCATTTGTCAGACTAGGTCCTTGTAGGAGCTGTTCGTTTAGGGATGTGCCGCTGAATCTTGCAGCCACATCAAACATCACTCTCACCTTGCCTGACTTGCTCGGATTGCTTACTGGGTAGTAAGGCAGGAACCATGTGGTTTTGCTGACTGTTGCTGCTTCCTCCTTTGTGAGCTTTCTTGCATATCCCTTGGTCACACAGTCTTCAATCACAGCTTTATATTTGACTTCAAGTTCTGGATCTCGAAGGAAGCGTCTCTTTAAGTGTTGCAGTCTCGCTTCAGCTAGTGTTCTGTTGTAAGGAAGCACAGGATTGTCACTCTTCCACAAGAGGCCCATCTCATAATGGCCACCATGTTTACAGATTGAATTGGATATCAAGTTCATAGCTCTTTGGTCCTCCAGACAGGGGCTTGGTTTCACACTTGCTCATACCATAGGACTCGACTCTCCAGAATTCTTCAAGCTGGTCACTTAGGGTAACATCCTCCCCATTAATGAGATTGACTTGCACAGGAGTGGAAGAAGGTACACTGGGACAGCCACCGAGTATACTCCAACCAATACAGGACTTGATTGCGATCGGCTCATTTGGTTTACCTCTTTTTACTTCAAGCGGTATGAAGACCTCTTGGATGTTTGTACCTAGCAGGATAGAAATCTTACTTCTCTCTACTTCCGGGAAGGGGACTTGCTGCAGATGTGACCACTGTCCAACAGACCTTGTCACCTTTGTGTGCTTTAGAGGAATTGTAAGATCCTTTACAGCCCAGGCAGATTTGACATCAATCAGATGGTCATTCCCACTGTCTACTGAAGCAATTTGGAAGTCAACTCTCAGGCCCTCTTCTTCTGCATCGGCATTGTTTACAGTCGTGAGTGACAGCTTACTTGGTGAGCCCTTAATGTTCAGCAGTTTCACTAGAGACGGGTCAATCATGGTTATGTCGGAGCCTGAGTCCAGTAGACCAAAGGTAGTAATCTGGTTGCCAGACTTACTAATCACTCGGACTGGGATTACTTGAAGCAACACTTCACACGAACTAACTGCGGCCACTGTGGAGCACATAGAAATAGTGGCTTGATTAGGCCTTAAGCCTTGATTAACGTCCTCACCGTTAGGACCGTCTCTTTGCTGGTTCCCTCTGTCTCTAGGTTCAGTGAAGTGTAACAGTGTGTGATGTGACTTCCCACAACCTTCTACCCTGCACCTGATTAAGGACTTGCACTTCTTTGAGTTATGTTTAGTTGAGTTGATACAATTGAAGCAAATCTTCTTCTGTTTTACAAAGTCATTTCTCTCCCTCGGAGACTTGGATTGATTTCACTTCTTCTAACACTTGGCTGTTGTAAAAGGCAGCAGCACTGGCAATAAACTGATCTATTCTCTCATTGTATTCTTGTATTCTAGACTGCTGAACCGCACGGTCGCTCAAGACTCTTTGATACCTTTCACAGCTGGTATCGAGTAAATCAGCGTATTTCTCAACACAAACACAATACTGCTCCCACGCGGAATTAAGGCTAGTTTGTACGGTTCGTATCTTGACGACGTTGCCGAAGTCTCCGAGATTTTCATCCAGTTGATGACACAGTTTCGTAATATTAGACAAATATCCCCTTCGGGATCTGTCCAACACCTTCAAACGCTCGAGTAGAATTCCTCGTTGAGTCATCATGGCTTTGATGTCACTTCGATTCACACGCACAAATATTTTCACAGTTAAGACTTTGGACGTCCTCTAATCACAGGCAAGATGCTCGTATGGTTTTTACGAAGATGTGCAGGGGACAAAGAACGCACCTTCACAACACAAGGGTTCTTGAACACAAGGTTTAATAATCGAGAGTTGCACACTCAGCATATTTTCTTAACAACACAACAGGATCGGAATTGGAGTCTCATCTTTGGCTAACAAGCTTCACCTCGCAAGTAAAAACCTACAAAACAAACAATCACAGTTGGAACGGGATTTGGAAATACACGAGCTCCTAAGACTCACCATACGATTAGAAACTCCCGGCGACTAGCGCGTTACAAAGCACATGGTTTCTTTCTCGCTACACTACGACACTGAGACGCGCTCTCTTAGCATGCTGGGAGTATAAATTACAAAAAAATGGAATGGAACGGACTTAGGAAAACAAAATTGTTCTCTTGTTGAGGATTGGCCTCAACAATTGGGGCATAGGTATGATTCGTCATCTGGTGAGGTTGGGTGTCTACCTATTGGTCTTTCATTTATCAAATTAGCAGCCTCAAAGCAAACAGTAGGGACTTTAAGATATGGTA